TGGACGCCGGGTTTTAGCAGTCACGTATATCAACAGTTATGCGTAGGTTGCCCACTGCATTAGTGGTGATACGCATTGAGCAGGACGAGTTGGCGGAGTTTGTGTGAGCGCGTAATGCAAGTTGCGGAGATTCAGGGATTGTTTTTTGAAGGGGCAAATGAAGGGAAAGGGAAGGGGCTCCTACCGAATGTCTTAATTGCACAGCCCGTCAGCTGGGACTGGGCATATTCCTTGCCTGTTGTTCCTTCACTCGCTCTTTACGTGAGCAACAGCGACAGGTTGATGTGCGTACGCATCGTATCAGTCTTTTTCCCGTTTGTTTTGCTTTCGTATAGGCCCACGTCGTTTCTTTTCGGCTCAATCTCTTTTCTTGCGTTTCGTGTAGCATTGAAATTCTGTGACATGTTATCTTCGATTACGCGCATTTTCGACTTTTTAGCAAATATCGCGAGCAACTGTTAGGCAGACAGCTGAACTGAATTGAAAGATGTGTGACGACGACGTTGCGGCTCTCGTAATCGACAATGGTTCGGGCATGTGTAAAGCGGGCTTCGCTGGAGATGACGCCCCGCGTGCGGTGTTCCCATCGATCGTTGGTCGTCCGCGACATCAAGGTGTCATGGTCGGAATGGGCCAAAAGGTACGATTTGAAACAAGCCATTCGTCGTAGTGGGAGCCTTCCCCCAATGCGTTTTATTGTTTGTTCACGAATTGATGGTAAATATTCGAAAGAGCCTGTATCTATGTGTGTGTTTGTAGACTGTTGATAATTGCTAGTTGCCAGGTTGATGTGCATGTTGTACAGTTGCGCAGTGGGTTTGGTCTGTTGAATCGCGTTTTCAGGATTCGTACGTAGGTGATGAGGCACAGTCGAAACGTGGTATCCTCACGCTGAAGTATCCGATTGAGCATGGCATTGTTACCAACTGGGATGATATGGAAAAGATTTGGCATCACACGTTTTACAACGAACTGCGAGTAGCACCTGAGGAGCATCCCGTTCTGCTCACCGAAGCACCGCTGAATCCGAAGGCGAACCGAGAGAAGATGACGCAGATTATGTTCGAAACCTTCAACACCCCGGCTATGTATGTTGCAATCCAGGCAGTGCTGTCGTTGTATGCCTCCGGTCGCACCACAGGAATCGTCCTCGATACCGGCGATGGTGTCACACATACCGTCCCAATTTATGAAGGTTTTACTTACTTTTGCTTGGTTTTATCCGTTGTTGAATTTTCATAATGGTAAAATTCGTTTGGGAGAAAAAAATGAGTGGGGAGATTTGGCTTTGCGTGGTTCATGCTTTCGTCAGTGAGTGGCACTTGTGGATGTATTTTGTTGACCACTGAAATTTGCAAAAATATGTTTTCATTGTGGCTGACAGTATGTGGACGATGTGTTATATTTCCAGGCTATGCTCTGCCTCACGCGATATTGCGTCTCGATTTGGCTGGTCGCGATCTTACGGATTACCTCATGAAGATCCTCACGGAGCGAGGATATTCGTTCACAACCACTGCCGAACGTGAGATTGTCCGTGATATCAAGGAAAAGCTGTGTTATGTGGCACTGGACTTTGAACAGGAGATGGCGACTGCTGCCTCATCGTCGTCGTTGGAGAAGAGCTATGAACTGCCCGATGGACAGGTTATCACTATTGGAAACGAGCGATTCCGGTGCCCTGAGGCTCTTTTCCAGCCGTCATTCCTTGGTGAATTTTTATGCGTTTTTTTGCATCTATGCAATGCAAAAGCGCATGCTGTCGAGTGTGTGTGTGTGTGTGTGTGTGTGCCTGCATTTACATTTGTACCGAGTTTTCATCTTGAGATCTACCAAAGCTAGAGGACTAAAACTTTGACAACTTAATCTACAGGTACGCGCAGGCGTCTGTCCTCAAGATGAACGTTCACATCCACGTGATTCTCACATACGGGCACCTGAAAGTTCTTTCGACGGGGTGTTTTCGAGGACGGCGCAACCTAGGAGATTAAAACTTCACATACGTCTTCCTTAGCCACGTCTAATCCAGAGATTTCAAATTCAGCCTCCATGCATCCCTAGGTCTCATGTACGCACACGTCAGTGCTTAAATTGATCCATGCTAGCTGCAGATTTAAGCTCACTAAGAATTTGTAGAGGGCTGTATTTTTGCACCTTCACCTGCTGCCCAGTGGTGTCTTCGTGGGAAGTAAATTGAACTTTCCATCTCGTTTGCATCTCATGTACCAACACGTCAAGACTTCACGTGATGCCTACGTAAGGCCCGAAAGAAACACGTGAAATCTGACATAACTCCACAATCGAAGCATTTAGAGCGCTTGATTTTTTGGGTATGGATTAGAAGTCATTGTAATAACTTCTAACAGTCATGATGGCCAATATTAATTCTTAGTTAAATGTATCCACCGGAAAAATCAGTGCCATTAACGACAAAAATATCTGCGGAGGATGTGCAAAAAACGCTTTTCGTACCGGCGGCCGGTGCGATGTTAACTAAGTTAGCTTTTCTATTAGATCAGTTATGTCTTACAGTTTCCGTAGTGCTCGATGAGTTGGTTTTATGAACTTACTTGGAGTTTTTTGTGTACAGGAATTTTTTTCTCGCGAGTTCCTGCAAAAGTTGTAGCGTGTTGATTTTTTTTTTTGTTTCAACCGCAAAGTTTCCAGTGTTCTAATGTGATTTCTTTTGTTAGGGATGGAGTCAACGGGTATTCATGAGACCACTTACAACAGTATCATGAAGTGCGACGTGGATATCCGAAAAGATCTCTATGCGAACACCGTTCTCTCTGGAGGTACCTCCATGTTCCCCGGAATAGCCGATCGTATGCAGAAGGAAATCACTGCACTTGCACCGAGGTTATTCTTTTTTCCACTACAGAATATGGGCATGTTCACTTCATCTGGCTTACTGATAGATTTGTAAATATTGCTGTCGGGAAGCTTCTCGACATTTTATTGGTTTCATCCCTTGGTGATTCGTGGTTCTGGTGGTGATGTGGGCGTACGCAAGTCGGTGATGTGGCAAAGGTGAGGACGGGGAGACCCATGGAAACATTTATTGTGATCAAAATGATGAGATTTTTTGTGTGGAGTGATCGTTTGCGACTGGTACGTCGGAGCTTTTGAGATTTTGATCGCGCAGTGGCATGGTTTTTACGGGAGTTTTCAGTTCTCTTCTACAGTGGTCTGTAAGACTGTTACTTTATGCGACTAGTTGTTTGGAAGGCTTTGTAAATATGAAATTTTCTGCTTTTGATATAAGATGCGTTAGTGGATTGTTGTGTTACAGCACGATGAAGATCAAAATCATTGCGCCGCCGGAGCGTAAATACTCGGTGTGGATCGGCGGTTCCATTCTGGCGTCGCTGTCCACGTTCCAGCAAATGTGGATTTCGAAGCAGGAATATGATGAGTCGGGACCATCTATTGTCCACCGCAAATGCTTCTAGACTGCAGCATTTTGCCGGAGCAGTCGTCCATTATTGCGCCTCCTACCATTTTGCAAAAATACACCCGATATTCCATGTTTTCTTTATTTTGTGCCTGCTTGCCCCTCGTATGTCTTTTTCTGTTCGTTTGATTTTGCAGAGATATCACTTATTAATCACAGCTGGCGACCCTTTCTTTTCTCGCCTGCGGTTTTCTCGATTTCGCGTGCATTGCTGCGTCCCTGCTAACACACTCTCTCGCTCCTTGCATTCTTTTCGTTAATACATTCAGTGTCCGGTTGAATGTCCGTTGTAAGGAACGGAGGAATTTTGAGGGTTGACGAGGTGCGCGTGAATTTGGATTGTGGTTGTGACTCACTTGCTACGTCACCACTGATATGTGCTATTTTCGTGAAAAAGCAGATTCACGTTTTATTAAAAGCACTTAGTGAGTTGCGCCGGTGGTGGCGTGTTTCATGTAATTTTCGATGTTTGATGCCCTTGGGATGGGCGGATTCCCAAGGGGAGGGGGGTGGAGGGGTTATGGAGACAACGGGATTAGGATGTAAAGCAACGATAAATTTCGTTAGAAGTTTGGTAATAAAAGCACCAGTGTTTGAGGGGAGAGGGCGTCCAGCTGTGATGGTTCCAGAATCATTCCTTTTTTTATTCCATTGATTATGGCGACTGTTCTATTTTGCTAACGATAATACCCGCTTATCATAAAGTTGTTTCTTTTAACATGCTTTTTTTGTTGTCCTACTCGCTGAACGTTGGTTTTATTTCCCTCGCCCACCCCCTTCGTCTCTAAGCATTCTGTAATAAAGGTTTTCCGGTTAAGTGTTGCGGAGCAGCACGGATATGTTCACTCATTCCCAAGGATCTGTGCGTTTTTAATAAAATACTACAGTGAAGGCGGAAATGAGGGAGGGAGGGCAAGCAATGAGACTTCAAAGTTGAGGGGGCTAAGTTGGAGGAAGAGGAGCAAGAAGGGGACAGGGGTAGGGTTGGGAAAGCTGGCTGTGATGATTTCATATGTTTGCGTGGGTTCGTGGATGGTTCAGTACTGTAGGGGTGGGGAACTGAGGTGGCGGGTAACGGCAGTCATGCTTCGAGTTACGGGTGAAGGGAGGTCGCTTAACCGTTTTGTCTTCCGAGTCCGTGGGGTTGAACTACTAGGTTGGGTGGCTTAGCCTCAAATGTGTGACAGCAGCACAAAGCGCATATTGTCACGAGATTGTGTGTGTGCCACAGATTTCGCCTGCACTTTTAATGCGAAAACCACAAAAGCCAGGTGGCTGAAATTTTAGTAGACTGTTCCCTGCCAGTGCATGGCCCCGTAAATTTAAATCCAACTTCCAATACCTGCGGACAACACTTGAGGCCCCATGAGATTTCTGGCAGGGGAAATTATCTCGGGGACTAAGAAAGTTTGGAAGCTGGAATTTTGTGGGTAGTTCTGCTGCATACGTACGATACAGGGAATTTAAATTCGATCTTCCGTATTGGCGGTTGACACCTGCGGCGCCGTGAAAGTTTTGGAGGAAGTTGTTCCGAGAATCATGGCTTGGAAGGGGAGATTTGACAGGAGTGTTTGCTTCTCACGTGTAACTCCGTCAGAAGGGGGTCCATGGCGGACT